ATGGCCTTGGAGCGCCCACCGCTCCCTTCCCACCTCAGGCCCCGGGAGGGGACGGCTGGAAGACCCAAGCTTGCCACTGCCGCTGGCGTGTATTATTCCCCCCCCCCCCCCCCCCCCGGGCTGGGCTGGCCGGGGCGCCACAAGGTCACCCTCCTGATGACCCTGAGGAGCCCGGTCCCCGTAGGGGCCTGCCCTCTGCTGCCTGAGCTGTTGCTGAGCAGCGCGCTGGAGAGAAGTAGGTCCTTCCACCCTGGGGCTCAGCCACCCAGTGGGACCCCCAGGCTTGGGGAAGCCACCGCCGACAGGAAGTCACACAGGCCTCGCTGGGCTCTGCACCCTCTGGGGCAGCGCTGGCCGATAGAAATGCCGTGTGAGCCATAAAGGTCATTTTAAATTTTCTGCTAGCCACATTAAAAAGATAAAAAGAAAGCTGGAATTAATTTTAATATATGATTTAGCCCAACAGGTGCAAAATATTAACATCAACATGCAATCAGTAAAAAACATTGAGATATTTTACATCCTTTTTTGTACAAAGTCTTCAAAATACGGTGTATATGTTATATCTGCAGCACGTCTCCATTCGGCCTAGCCACATTTCCTGGGCTCCACAGCCACGAGTCGTGAATTGGACAGCAGGGCTGTAGGGTCCTTTCTTTCAGGCCTTTGCCTAAAGTAGGGCCTAGGCTTGTTTTTTTAGATGAGGAGGTTGAGAAGGGACAGGGGACTCAAGCTGTCCCGGCAGAGCCAGGACTTTGAAGCCAGAACCACTGCAAGTTTGGGGGCTTGTTGGAGCAAACTGCCTCTTTTCTCCATGTGTAAACTGAGCTGCATGTATTGAGCCCTTACTGGGGCTACTGTTATTAGTATTATTATTATTATGTATTGAGCCCTTACTGGGGCTATTATTATTATTATTACTGGAGCCAAGCCTTACAACGACCCTGAGAGTGAGGTAACAGATTCTGAGAACTTTCTAGGTCATTGCTTGGAGGTTATATGGGGGATATGAACATAAGCCCATTTGAACCCCAAAGTCTGGGCTTTTAAAAAACCCTGAAGAGCAGTTCGATGTTGAGGTGTGAAGAGCACAGACTGTGGAGTCATTCCTGGTGTCTTGCCCTGAGCCCTTGTAGCCTCAGTTTCCTCACCTGTAAAATGGAACGCCGCCGCACTCCCAAGCAGCGCACTCTCCAGTGCGCCACCGGGCCGGCCCCAAAGTCTGGGCTTTTAAAAAACCCTGAAGAGCAGTTCGATGTTGAGGTGTGAAGAGCACAGACCGTGGAGTCATTCCTGGTGTCTTGCCCTGAGCCCTTGTAGCCTCAGTTTCCTCACCTGTAAAATGGGGATGTGAGGATTCCAGGAGACAGTGCTGGTAAAGCGCAGATCACAGGACAGGACTCTAGTAGATTCTAAAAAAAATGTTAACTTGTTATTACCATATATCTTTATTTTCTGCTTCCGTTAACCTTTCTGTCATGCTTTTCTCCCTCTTAAGTCTTTTATTCGAAGATTTGTTCAGTGGACAGAATTATTAGACCCTACAAACTTGGTCATTTCAATTGTAAGTATTTTTTTTCATCTTCAGAGATAATAAATTTCATGTTTTATCTTGACACTTAAAGACCGTATGTTTCTTTTAAAAGCAGTTGAAATAACTATATATGAGGGTACTTCAAAAAGTTCATGGAAAAAAGTTCGTGGAAATACAGAATTGAAAAATAATGTGAATCTTTTCACGAACTTTTCGAAGCACCTATGCATTATTATGTTTTTATTCCTTCTGAATGAGCTTGTTAGATTGAAAGGGTCATAGAAGCGTACATCTGTTTAACAGGTAATGCCAAGCCTGGGCCAGGTGCTGGTGATTCAAAGAGAATTAAAGCAGATCTTCCGTGTAACGGAGGACACGCTAGCAAAGCTAGTCACGAACCTTGACATGGGCTCTGAGGGGACTGGGGGAACTCTGCAGGTGGGGGTGTTGAGGCAAGGCTGAGACGGGAGAGGGAAGGGAGAAAAGTCAGCAAGAGGAAGCTATAAGCAAAGTCCAGGGTACGAGAGAGGGTCTCCTAGTCACTGGGGCTTTAAATGCAGGGGGACAGGGCGGATCTTGAATGTCACTGAGATGAGTGGGGTTTGCATTGATCCTACAGGGCCAGGTCATGAGGTTTGTGTTTCAGAGGGTCTCTTTGGTGGCCAAGTGACGAGTAACCAGAGCAGTCAGACTGTAGTAGATCAGTTCAGGGGATGGTTCAGTTGTCCAAGTGAAAGACGAGAGTTCGAACCAGGTGTGGCTGGGGGTGAAGAGGAGATGCCCGGTGACCAGTAATAACCCTTCAGGGCACAACCCAAGGGGACACCCCCATATTCATGCTCAAGATGTTCCAAGCCTTGTGTATCACAGGGAAGAACAAGAAACAAACCAAATGCCCATGAGTAGGGAAACAGATAAACACAATGTGCTGTATTCGTACAGTGGAATGCGGATTAGCTGTTAAAAGTGATGTATGATATACCCTGACCTCATAGTAGTGGTTACCTCTGATAGGATGGGGAGAGAAATGAGACTGGTGATGATGGTCCTTTTTGAAAAATAAAGTAAAATTAGAAGCAAATATAACCAGATGTTCACTGTTGTCTGTCCTCTGTACACTGCCTGCTCTGCTCTGAGCTAGGGGCAAGCTGGACTCCGGGGCTTGTCTGAGGGATAAGTTAGGTGTGGTCCTCTCTAAGGTTAGAGATGGGACTTTTTAATGTTCCAGTCAGTGTCTTTACGTGGATCGCCTCTTTGCTTGTGTTAGTTCATTTGTTTGTTCAGTTAGTTCATTCGATGCATCCATTTTGATTTGCTGCATTCTCGTGGTGGAACACAGCTCTGGCCTGCACGCTCTGAAAGGCAGAGTGAAGGGGACACCAGAAATAAGACTAGGGAGGAGATTCTTTGCTGCCTACCCATCTTTAAAAGCTATTACTTGCTTTTTCTCTTTTTAGATACAAGAAGCTTGGAAAAGGAGTCTTGTAAGTTTCAGCCCTTCCTATATTTTAGCCTCCTAAACTAATAAAACCAAACATACAGCTAAATCTTTGTGTCTACCCTTATGAAGGCAACAGTGCATCCTGACAGCAGCAAACTGATCCCTGCTTTTTTTCGACCTGCAGGTGAGTTGGTTCTAATTTTCAGCAGTGGGTTGGAAAGACATGGTTTGTAGCACTTAGAAAACTCTGCCTGCCTTATTTTAATTTTTTTTCCCCTAGAAGGATTTCTGATGGTGGGTCTGAAACCACAGCTTAAAAAGAATGCCTGAAGGGTCTGGGGTTGTCAGTGGAGAAGAGCAGGTTCAGGGCCTAGAGCCGTGTCCAGACCTGTGGAGAGATGTGGGCTTTAGGAACGAGGGACGAGCCTGCAGTAGATCCTGCCCTGCTCTATCATGCCCCAGCGAACATACCGATTACTGTATTGATAGTTCCAGACCTTGTAACTCACAAGTATTAGTATTTTTTTTTTTTTTTTAAAGATGACCGGTAAGGGGATCTTAACCCTTGACTTGGTGTTGTCAGCACCACGCTCACCCAGTGAGCAAACCGGCCATCCCTATATGGGATCCGAACCCGTGGCCTTGGTGTTATCAGCACCGCACTCTCCCGAGTGAGCCACAAGCCGACCCCAACTAAATCTAATCCTAATTCATTGATACAATATCTAATTGAAATAAACCTTTCTAATGTATGTTTGCCTCTCCAAACATTATACCAGCTAGAATTTCACTTACCCAACTCACTTCTATGAAATGGTCACAATTTCAACATGAGAAAATACCCATCATTACAAATATAAGTCATCAGTTTGGGGGTTTCCAGTGAGAGAACAGAGGAATTTATTTATGATCCATGTTAATAGTGTATTTTTTGCTTGCCTACTTCATATCCACTCCCCTTCCTCCTTAACAGGGCCTCAATTTTGTACAGATTTCTATTTCCATCTTTTTAATTTTATTTTTTATTTCTTTATTTTTATGTTTTCTAAAGATGACCAGTAAGGGGATCTTAACCCTTAACTCGGTGCCATCCATCACATCTAACTAACATGAAGGGAACAAAATTCATGATCCTTCCAACTATAAAATTCTCTCTTTGTATATTATAAATAAGAAACTGGAAATAACATAAATATCCAACAATTCAGATTGTGGTTAAATAATTCATTAAACAGAACGAGATAAGTCCTATATGCTGATATAGAAAGATGGATCTTCAGGAATTAGTATTAAGGGAAAAAAAATCAAAGCATAAAACAGTGTCTAGTGATCCTGGTCGGATAATTAAGAGCTGTGTGTGTGAGAGAATTTGTGTCTGTCCTGACAAATGTTTTCCAAATTTCACCTGGAAGGATGAACGAGTAATGGTTAATGCTGCTGACCTTTGGGGAGAGGCTGGGAGGGCCTTCTTGTTAGGTCTTTCTGTACTGTGCTGCTTTAATTTTTTGCCATATGCACATAGTTATTTTTTTATTAGGGAAAAAAAGAATTTTAGAGTAAAAAATATCCTTGGAGTTCTGTGTCTTCAGAAGGCTGGGGAAGAGGTTTTCAGGTGGGAGCAGCCCCGTGGCCTCCTGTCTGCCTGGGCAGCTGCGGTCACTGACGGAGCTTCTCTTGTCTTCTCTCAGCTTTCCTGCCCTTCACGGTGCCCATGGTGAGTAAGCTGCTGTGCACTGTTAGGACAGCAGGTAAAAGTTTAGCAAGATGCCCATGATCTCGGCTGTGGCCCTCCAGCTCTGGAGCCCTGCCCCTTGACTGCCTGATAGATGGTCACACCTGTGACCCTTGTCTGCTGTTTGTATCCACACCCCTGCCCCCACCCCGCTTACCCAGTCAGGCAGCTGGGCCTCTCGAAGGTCCACAGTGTGACACAGTCATCCTTTCTTTGAATGCCTGCTGTGCACAAAGCCCTGTGGAGGAGGTCAGTGAGTTAGGACAAGTTCCCAGCCACAGTTCCACGGACCTGTCCATTACCTTCCCTCCCCAAGCCCTCCCCTGGGACTTGGAATTGCGCCCCAGCGAGGCCATCCCACCTTGGTTCTCAGGAGGAGCTTTTGTCCACAGCACCAGCCTGTGCCTGCTCCCCCGGCAGGTGCGTACTTCCTAGCTGCCTTGCGGGACTGCAGGCCTCGGAGTCGGGCCCACTATCAGGCTCCCGGTGTCCTCCCTGCCGGTGGTTCAGTGCCCACCAGGTGCTCAGTACCCTCGGCTTGTCCGCTGGCCACAGCCCCTGTGGCATCACCTTCCTCTCCTTGCCCCAGTTCCTATATCTCCCCTGGAAAGTTCTTTGCTCCTGCAAGCCCTCCTTCCCCCGAAAACCCTTGTAACACTGCTCTACTTTCTTTTTAAAAGGTATTTTTGTCACTGATGCCAGCAAAAGGGCTAATGTCCATGATTTTACCTCAGGTAGCAATTATTTCTATTTCACAATTACTGAATTCTGTTATGCTCAAAACAAACCTGTGATCCGTCGCCTCTGCCTGCAGGTTTCCCTCTATACTTACACAACAGTGTTCAACATTATCAACGGAAATGCAAGCTATGTGAGTACTGCAAGACCCAGAGGATATGTGGGTTTGTGTTGTTTCCTTTGGAGTATTTCCTTTTTTAAAAAAAATTATCCTTGCTGGGCAAAACTGTGGTATCTGCTCAGTATGTACTTCTATTTTTCCTTAGAACCGTCGTCCACATGAGACTATACTACTAGGGGCAGGAGCCGCTGCTTCTTCAACCTTCTTTGGAGTAGGTATTTAGTAAGTCTTTGGAATCTTTTTTATTCCTCAGAATCAAAAAGCTTTATTTATTCTTTTTTTTTTAAAAAGATGACCGGTAAGGGGATCTTAACCCTTGACTTGGTGTTGTCAGCACCACGCTCACCCAGCGAGCTAACCGGCCATCCCTATATGGGATCCGAACCCGGGGCCTTGGTGTTATCAGCACCGCACTCTCCTGAGTGAGCAACGGGCTGGCCCAAAAAAAGCTTTATTTATTCTTTTTTTTTTAAAAAGATGACCGGTAAGGGGATCTTAACCCTTGACTTGGTGTTGTCAGCACCACGCTCACCCAGCGAGCTAACCGGCCATCCCTATATGGGATCCGAACCCGGGGCCTTGGTGTTATCAGCACCGCACTCTCCTGAGTGAGCAACGGGCTGGCCCAAAAAAAGCTTTATTTATTCTGATTACAAATTTATGTTCCAACTTAATTGAGAAAATATGGATAGGAAATAAGTCACCTGTGTGTCACCTCCAAATTAATATTCTAAGTCTCTAGGTATATACTCAGTCCTGTTATCTTTTCAAAAATGAGTTTATGCTACACAAACATGTTCTATGAATTGTATATTGTTTTGGATGTCAGGACACTGTAATGTTAATGATGTAGACTTTAGAGTTGGACAGTCGTGGGTTCCCATCCTGGCTCAAACCCTCAATGGCTCTAGGACTCTGGACAAGTTGCATAACCTCTTTAAGTCCCCATCACTCCTTGGATGAACAGGGAGGACACCTCGATGTTGCAAGAATTAAAACAAATTAGGGCCGGCCTGGTGGCGCACTGGATAGTGTGCCGCTTGGGAAGTGCGGCGGCGCTCCCGCCCGAGGGTTCGGATCCCACATACAGACCGGTTCCCGCTCACTGGCTGAGCGAGGCGCGGG